CACATTTAATCCTATCTTTAGTACTTAATTCTAGCTAAAGTTCTTTACTACTGGAAATTCTGCTCTTTGTATACTTACATTTGTGTACATAAGAAAACATTAAAAAATATATGCATATGTTACCTTATGTACATATAAAATAACACTGAGTACATCTAATATATGTTAGTAGTCAATGTCGAATTGTTTTCACTATCATGCTTGATTACCAGCACTGTAGATGCTGCTGTGCTGCCATCTATGATCTTGAAAACCTTATATTACCCAGTATTACATGAAAACAGCATAATCACAGATGAACTTCGTCTGAAATGGGACCCTTCACTTCAATTCATGCAATATATATACAATATATACCAATATAGAGACAGACAAATGTTGGGCAAATACCACAGACAACATTAACATATATTTATTGTTACAGCTACTACCGACATTCTTAGTCATATTGTCAATAGCAATGTTGCCATGCATGAGTCTGGAAATCCACAACAGTTAGTATCACGAGAAAACTATTCCAGCACAGTTTATCGGAATAAGAATTTGTTATGTGTTATGTCCCACGCTTACAGGGTATATGGAAAATTGTCACCGGCATTCCATATTTGAAAGTGTGGTCTTGTGCCTAAACATAAAGCCGGACACAAATACAAACAAACCTCCAGTATAGTTTTGGGATAAAATATGCAAATAAAATTTCAATTGATGTTAAGGACAAGCTGAATGCACTCATATGACGGAAAATAATGATTAATTTGTCTTTTCAAAATTATATCTAAATAAATGTTTTTGAACAAGTTTTCTAAAAATTAATTATAATCTAGTAACAATACATGTATGGAAAATTGCTATCCTATTTCTAGTATTTCACGAAAACAAAAAAATTTTAAGGTATATCTGGTCATCTCATTTAAGTATTGCTTGATTAGCATTTTGACTTCTGTATGTTTTTAGGTTATGTTCAAATTTTCTTCTTGATAAATCCTTATGGATCGAAACATGCGAAAAAACTGATTCTCAAAGACATTTTCCTACTTGGTCAACTGCATGATCCTGCAAATTATTAATTGTGATGGTAAGGGCAGTGAATTTTATCATGAATTATGGGGCCTTCTCTTTGGACTGTCTTCCTGGTTTTGGCTTTGTTAGCTTGCTGGGATGAAATAGCGCGCTTTAATTTGGGCATTTTAAAAATTGAAATGAGCTGCGGGTAAAACATGTGGGTTATTTAGAGATAGGACAAAATTTGTTGATGTTGCGTTAATGGGTCTCCTTGACAACCAAGCAAACTTAATGTGGAATTTTACTCAATGATTTTTGTGCGCTAACGTGAGGCGCGCCTATTAATGATTTTATTTTATTATTCATCACGATATCTACCAACCTACTCTCAAATCTAATTATGCCCAAAATAGTGCATCACCCGTTTCGTGCAAGTTGCATATCGATTGGTACCACAACAGCCGAGGTATCGGCGTAAAAGAGAGACAGACAAACGGTTTTTCGTCTTTATACAGTTGATTGCAAAATTATTTCGCTTTCTTACATATATTAAAAACCATAACACCACACCATAACCCATAGTGTTCTAGGGTAATTTCTAATTACAAAAGGTATCCTTGTTATAGTAATATTGTGGATTTTGGGGGATCAGTACTACGAATCTTCAGAACCTACAGTAGTTAATCAGTTGTCTTAATCCTAGTAGTTAATCAGTTTTACCGGATCATCTCACAATACTATAGTAAATGAAAGATGAGGATAAGTAATTAATCGGTTTGCGGAGTAAACTTTTGACGTATTAATAAAGTTTTGGAGTCCATTTTCAACTTTTCTCATTCACATTATAACAAATACATTAAAGTAATGATATAATAAAAACATCTGTAGAATGTTAGACACAGTTAAAAGTTTCTTTGAAACTTGATTTTTTATAACTCAGTTTCGAATATTTGTAAATTCTTAAGTATTTCTTTAAAGATCAAGTATGAGGAACTGTAATGGCAGATGTAAGATTGCAAAATAATTTTTTATTTGTATGAGAGATGGGTTATACTGTAAAATTATGTATTTGTTGAAGTTTCAATGTCTATGGTATTTATATATGGCTTGTTCAGTAGAACAAGTGTTATGGTATTGTTACGACAACGCAGGTCACGTGACGCTTGTATCACGCCACTTCCTTCTCGAACCTTCATGAAATGTCGGGAGACTACTAGATTGGTAGATTGGTCTTGTATATATAAGACCGGCCAAGAAGCAATGTAAGGCAATGAGTAATTGAACTGCAGAGAGAGAATATTGTTGAACACGTGAGACGTTCGTTGTGAATTATAGCGTTTGTTATAGCGCGACTGTTGAAATTAAGTGTATCGCAAAGTTGTATTCAGAAACAATAAACCAGTTTTATTTAAGAAAGGACTTGTATCGGTAAAGTTTCTTCGGAAAGAATTTTTACGTAAAATTAACTAACGAACGGAGACGTAACAGTATTGTTACGTCTCCGTTTGTTAATTAATTTTCCGTAACTTCGTTCCGACGAAACTTTAGCGACACAAGTCCTTACTTAATAAAACTGGTTTATTCTTCCCGAATATAACTTTATGATACACTTAATTTCAACAGTCGCGCTATAACAAACGAACGTTAACTTCAACAATATCCTGTGACTGCAGATCAATTACTCACTACCTACACACATTATTGTCACGTTGTGAGCGTCTTATATATATACCAGACAAACATATATGTAGTTAATGCTGGGGCATTCACGAAGGAACAAGATAGTTCTAGAAACGTGGCGTGACACTAGTCACGTGACCTCGCTGACGCAACAGTATTTTAGTACAGAGGCGTAACCTCTGATGTACCAAAGTAACAAAAAAACACGATAGTTATCTGACCATTTCACATCTGAAAGTTACTCACCGTCTGTATCCAACACTGATGGTATAATTCTGTGACTAGACTCTAGCATTTTGATGCTTGGCTATTATTGCTTTCGACTTTGGCGATTGATGTAAGGTTTAATGATAAAGGTTATGAAAATTGTTTTTTGGTTCGTCAACATTTGCAAATGTAATTTTCTATGACAAAATACACTCAGTTTTTTTTGACGACATATTTATTTTCACTTATTTTTCCATGCACAAATCACAAACTTTTTTGTAAATATGTGACTATATTATCAATGACTGAAAATTCTGCGAATGTGTGAACAATGTGTTTCATCTATTTGAAAGAATATGGAAGTTATAGACAAAACATTTTACTAAATTAAAAGTGTTTTTACCTTATTGCCTATTGTTCAAGAAGTTTGATTTTCAGGTACTTTTCTGTTTAAATCTTCACCCAATGCTAAACATATTTTAATAATTGGTCATTTAGACATAACGGTAATGTCTGTTACACTTCAAAAGCTTGTCCAATCGGATTTTTTTCCCTCAGTCCTGAACCGGTGCTTTACAGCTTCATATTTTTTCTAGCAAACGTTTTCGAATGCTCCTGGTAACTGGTGTTTAAAACATTCATTCTATAGGAATGAAAATTCTTTTAGATGGAGACTTATTATCGTGCTGTTTAAGCGTCAGAAATATTTTTGCCCTTATCCGTTATCTTGGAGAATAAACATTAAATAATTACATCTCTACAGACACCAATCATCATTATCAAAAAGCAGGCCCAGCATAGCTTGGTGGTTAGGGCACTCTACTCCCAAACATGCTTGTGTTTCAGCCGTGGGTGCATTATAATCTGACGGTCAATCCGACTATTCGTTGGTAAAAGAGTAGCCCCAGAGTTGGCGATGGGTGGTGATGACTAACTACCTTCCCTCTAGTTTTACACTTCTAAATTAGGGACGGCTAGTGCAGATAGCTCTCATGTAGCTTTGCGCGAAATATATAACAAACTGTTACGTATCTGCTCGTTTGATAATTTCCTTAATTTCTGGTATAAATTCTTTCCAAGGAACTTCAGCGATACAAGTCCTTTCTTAATTAAAACTAGTTTATTCTTTCTC